CCCCCCCCCCCCCCAAATACGTTAGCACCGACAATCATTCTCTTATTAGTCGTTTTCCCTTGTTTTTTTGTTTTGCTATGGTCCTAGCGTCTCCCACTCTTGTTGTTGAGTTTACTTCCATTTTTCGTCGAATATGTAACTGTACGACCATAGCAAAACAAAAAAAAAACAAGGGAAAACGACTAATAAGAGAATGATTGTCGATGGGGACTCTAGAAAATGATTATTACTAGGCGTGGGATACGGTAGCGCGGAAGTCGGTGTAATGACAACTAGCCGTCACTAGTGTCCGCTTTGCATAGCTCCCCACGCAGAGGTGGTGGAAAGGTGTAAATTCTGATTTCAGGTGCTTTTATCCATGCAAGCAGATGTTTGTTTAGGGTTTGTAAAGGACAACACGCACGAATCTGTTTGAGACGTATTATTTAGTCATCTACGTACTTACGAGTTCATGCTATAAACTGACACTTATTTATTTATTCTTGCTATATTGCTAATAAATCTTTTATTATTTTGTATTCCTATTTACATCCGGGTCTTCTGAAGCTTTCCGTCCGTTCCATTACCCTTAGCAATGACACCTTTGTACTGTTTGATGCCTAGCGAGCCTACTTTTGCGATACTCCCCACGTCCCCCGCGGCCAAGTACGAACCCATTCTTGGGGATTTCCCATGAAAAGAGGGCTGTTAAACGTAGCATGTAAAGAATACACTCATAATAAACTTCATTTTTTTTAAACATCTTGACTTCCATAGCTCCACTCCCACTATCAACTGAAATGTCGAAGCATTGCTCGGCTCTGAGTGACCCTTGAGATTACGACCCCCCCTCCCCAGCGGCCAAGTACGACCCCCCTATGGGTTTCGCACAACGATGCTGTACCCTGTCCACAGCGAACAAGACTGTGCATAACCAACCTAACTGCCGCTCCAACGAGCCAGATGCAACAAAAATGAGGTTTTGATATTTTCTTCGGGAGATTTATTCAAACTATTTTCATTACACATTCGCGCAATATGTGTATGTGTAGGGTGCTAGGAAACGTTTGAGAACATCTAAACTCGTAAACCATTCATATAAATAGACAGAAAATGGACCATCTTCAACAAATATTCTCATATATATGTGTATCATAGGAAATAAGCACGGTCCGCAGACGATCAGCAGCAACAAATATCGCGGTGGATCGAACAACACGGCAATGGCGAACTTCTTTAATAAAGGGAAAACAACAGCGATGAAGGTCGAGTCCATCTACAACCGTATGTAAAGCAATCGCCCTGCAATGATAGCAACGGGCGGGCGATGAGGTCCATCACACATCCCCCTCGTAATGACGAGCAACACTAAGCCAGAAATGCACCGTCGTCAGAAAGCATATTCGAATGACATTATATTACCGAATAGCTATAAGGACACATGTGAAGGGCCAGAAACAAAAATATAAAAGAAAACAATAAGGCGCTATTTGAATTAAAGTGATTGACATATTTTTGAACGAATAACTATGTAACAATTTGCTTGCGCACGTTGAAAAAAAAACAAATACCTATGATAAAATCCATTAACTAAGGCGAATGCGTTGCCTATCAGAAGTCACGTATCGAAATGTCTTGACCACTTCAAAGTTACGGTCATAAGGGTCGATAAATGAGGGCTTGCACGAAAAAAAAACGATAGATTTCATTAATTCAATTCCATATATTTTACGATAACGAGCATCAAACCACCGATAACTTGAATTACGCCATAAATATTGATATATGAAATCAACATAACAATAAGATTTCTTTAAAAAAAGCAGAGCAGTGGAGAAAGAAAACATATGACAATGCAGGAGCGGCCGCGAAAGTGATGTACTCGTGGCTTATGTTACATGAACAACCTGATTAAGTAGTTCAGAGAGGATACGTGCAGCATCCTTCGCAGCTACCTGAAACACAACCATCTTTCGTGAAGTACTGACAGACAAATTCTTCCACCAATCTGTAAGAGTGCTAGCCAAAAACCTCGTAACAAGGAGTCATGTGGAGTGATAAGACGAGCAAATCGCTAGCAAGTCCACCACAATGGTTGTGGATTTTTCTGTTCAGCCTAGTTCACAGACGGTGGGCGGGTTCCCTAGGGGGGAGTTCCCAAAGGAGAGTAGAAATGAGTTTAAGACGTGTCTGAAAATGTTGCAATTCCAATAAATCCGGAAAGAGTGGGCGGAGTTTCCCATAGCGGGCGGGCTTGACTTCAGTGGGCGGAACTGAGGGCAAGAAAGGCTGACTCCGAAATTTCTTGAAAAAAAATAATAAAATTCCATAAAGTGGGCGGAGTCTGACCGTAACAGGCGAAGCTTGCATGCGGTAAGTGGAACTATAAGTGCCGAAATATCATAAGAATTAGAAATAAATATCATAAGAATTATATTATAAGAATAATGTGGAGTAATTAGACAGCTCTTCGCGCTGATGTAGTTAGGGGAAGGGAAAGGGGGTTTGGACCACCTGACCGTGTCCCTGTATCCCTTTCCTAAAAAGGCAGTCCAAGCGTAATTTGAACAACCCCTTTAATCCCAATAACTTTCTGGTTTTCTCTGGGCTCTGCATGACACTCCATGACTACGGTAACCTTTCACATTCCAGCTTTCTAGAATTAGGCTACGTCCAGATGACGCGCGCGTCGACACCAAACAGAGTGATCAGGCAACGAGCACCTTCCTAAGCCCTCATACTCTCTCATTTCACAAATGACCGGCACTCATGGCAGCGTCCTATAATCTCTCTCGTCTGTCGATCGGTGACAGTAGCGTGCCGACGCGCGTCATCGCGTAGTCGAAACGGCGTCTTATAACTGGCTCATCTATCCTAAAGCCCTCTGCGGAAAATACCCCTTTGCTGGCGACATGTTTTCTGCACCTTTCAACGCCTCAACATCCACAAGCCCCTCTGCCTTCTCATATCAAGACCCTTACTGAGAGTTCTAGTTATCTCGTAACCCAAAATGGCCTCTGTTAGTAGTGGACCACAGTCGCCGACAAACAGTCCCGCAGAGCAGGTACACTCCTCACTTGGCCTGAGTCTTAAATAGCGAAGGAGATACGGAGCCGCTGACGAGTGGTTCCCCCCCCGTACTTGACTGCGAGTAAGTCAAAATATAAAAAAGTGAAGCCTCACTGAATCACAAAACAGTCAGTAAACTCACAATAAGTGGAGTAGTTTGACAACTTGCATCGCGAACCATAGGAGAATCTGTTCCAACAGATACCGACACCATTTCTGGGGGCTCAGTCGTAGATACAGCCATATGACGAAGGCTTGGCACTAGTGTGTTCGAGTCGTTGTGTGCCTAAATATGGTTGAACATCAAGAAGATCACACAGAAAATACTTTCAAAGAATTTCAACAAGTGATCTCAAAGATACCTCCTGCTCACTATCAGGAGTATGTGAGAGGCTACTTCCCGCATCGAGAGGTTCCGATGGCGGCAAGCTATGAGTCATAGGTGGCTGATGATGAGCTTGCGGAGGAGCTATGCCGGGCACGAAATGGGTGAATCTGGAAAAAAAAGAAACTTTCGAAAATAAATCACAGAAATCGCCTTTTGAAGGCGGAGTTACGACACGTGAAAACTTATATTGACTTGGACACCACAGTTTAGAAAAACACTAAAAGTCCGATGCTAAAGCCAAGCAAATAATAATAATAATAATAATAATAATAATAATAATAATAATAATAATAATAATAATAATAATAATAATAATAATAATAATAATAATAATAATAATAATAATAATAATAATAATAATAATAATAATAATAATAATAATAATAATAATAATAATAATAATAATAATAATAATTGAAGCTGTTTTGTTATGATGTTTTTTTTTGCTATGTTTGCCCATCAAGTTAAGCGTGTGAGTGCTGTAAGGCTACGGCATAAAAGCTGTTAAGCTAAGAGGGTAAAAGCGGCCCTGATGGCGTAATGGATAGCGCAAATGAGCCTAGCAAAAAATTTGCAAAGATGGTGTCGTTGCTAGCATCAAACCCACCCCGAGGTGGCTGACTTAAGAGGCGCAGGAATATCCTTGCTTTCAGGAAACGCGTCGCATAGGAGCCAAAACCCGCAACACTGGAGAAGGAGTCAATCCTTTTTACAATATACCAAACGGATGCCATGGCCATAGCCGTAACGAAACCCCTCAAAGGCTGTATTTCCTCCGTGAACACAACGATCTGCAGCTAAGACTGAAACGAAGGGGAACTTGCGGCCGTGTACGCACAGCATCCAGCCCTCCCCTAGTGGGAAAGATAAATTCTCTTTCACTCCGGGCTTAGACAGCGAAACAGCAGGTGATCTGGACGGTCACGTCTGTAGTGAGATGAGTGATTCAAAAAGGGAGGGTGCACAGCAATAGTTAGGAGCGCTGAGGGAATTCTGTGAACTGCCAAGAAGAGAAGCAAAAGACTCGCTGCGGCTGCCATTGCCAAGGCGAGGGACAAAGAAATGGATGCGTACGGCAAGCTGGACAGCCATGAGGCAGAAGAATTCGTCCTAAGGGTGGCTAAAGCCTAGATCGCGCTACAAGGGACATCAGAGAATAGTGTCGAAGACCACGACAGTGTTACTCTGAGGAAGCTAGTTTAAGCCAAGATACGGTGGAAAGAGAAGTTCAATAGGCTCCCATACTGAAAATTCTTACGCTTAGAATCAAAGTTGACGGCTGATCCTATCACTACCAGAACAGAAGCTGATTTGTGTCGTGAAATAGAGGGGATGAGGGTAAGTGAGGTATTGGCTCGGATGAAGTACTAGCTGCAGGGTGGCTAAACCACTTTTCCACCGGACAACAGCTTTGGGAAGAATGACGGATGCGCGTAGAGCGCTATGTTCGCCCCTATCCATAAACTGGAGGTGAACGCAGGGGAAAACAGGAGGTGAATGCAGTGGGGTGCTCCAGCTAACGCGAAGTCAAATTGAGTGCGCATACCATGTAGTTGTGAGAGCCAATAGTCAATGCAGAGCTGTGGTCCCAATGCTCAGCTACGCAGAATTCATTATTAGGCTCCTTGCTTCACATAGGCTTATTCAACTGGCCAATGAGTGTAGTTTTGCTTTTGCTGATTTTCAAGGCCTATTACTATAGTATACATTGAATAAATAAATAAATGAACGAGGAAACTAATAAATAAGTAAATAGGCAATTAAATAAATGAAAGCCGATATAAAACTCGAAATATTTCTAAAAATGAAAGGATAAGGACAACAGTTTTCGTAAGCACTAATAATTAGAATTCCACTGACGCCCTCAGTAGCTGAATTTATTACCTTCCATGCACTGGAGGAGGAAACGGTGGCGGTAGACCAGGAGGGAGCATTCCAATCATTACCGGATTCAGACGAGGACCCATAGGACCAACAAGTGACTCCATGGACACTACCGGAAGCACGAAGGGGACCTGAAATCGAAAGACGATATCACAAACAAGTCTCAGACTCAAAAGACAATAGTTTTAAAGCACATCTGCATTGACTAGGACTCTTCAGAACAATAATAGATTTTTCTAAGCGCTGAGAGAGATTCTCTATGCAAAAAAAGCATCGGCGTTCATAACCTAGTGGAAGCACACCCGCAGTCTCACATTTTTTTTGCGTGTTTTTGATCATAATTTTGCATTTTCATCGTGTCCCACCCTACTAGTCCAGTGAATTCCCGTAAAATACCTTGTAAACACCCGTCAAGCTTGGCGAAATGGTACTACCTCATTGTGAACCCATTTCTTTTTTCCTATGTTTTGACCAGTCATTTTGACAAGCTTGACAGTGATTCACATAGCACTTTACAGATGATAACGAGGTTTACGGGGTGGCCACAAGTTTGTCAGCGCCCAGCGCCTAGAGGCGTGCCCCCCCCCCCTAGATGTTGGCGGCGCCTTAATCACGTCAACAAACGCACCAAACGAATTTCTAGTGCAGTTGCTACATGATAGACCGCTCCTTCATGAATATTTGAAATGGTAGAACAACCTTGCCACCACAAACACGCGTCCATTCGCCCAAAGTGTGGAACCGTTCCTCGTGTTCAGTGCGAATTAAAAGAGAGTCGTTGAAGTAACCAGACTGAGTCCACATCATCATTTCCTTAGCCGCATATGGACCTTAAAAGAAATTATTCTTTTAATCACATCTCCAGCGCTTGACGCTAACTCTGAAGGATGACAAAAATAAGTTTGGGGGTAAATTTGGTGTTATGACAACAGGCCATATGAAAATGGAAAGGTTCAACTTGTTCTGAATATTTGCTGATCGGTTCGCTGCAGATGACGGGGCATGTCAGCGCGGCTGCGTTTGACACACCGCAAAATTCATTCTCTTCATTCTTGAGACGGTAAACGACAACAATTGGTAAAAAACGACCACTGCGAACGTTGTGATAGTGCTGTTGCTCGCCTTAAAAAAACGGGTTGGCGTCGCACCAAACGCAGCCGCGTGGACACGACCCATCATCCACAGCGTACCAAACTACAGATATGTTTGCCTAAGAGGTACTGCTCCCACTAAGAGTTCAGTATATGAAAACCCTCTCCTTGGGAACCTATAGGGATGACTGAATACCTCCTCGGCACTAATCGGTATGGAGAGGGCATTCCATTCCGCACTTGTTAGTTGATGTTGACCATCAGGTCACACTTTGGTCAGACCTGTAAACTCCGCTGAGGTTGCGAAACTTCAGGCATTAGCCACTTTGGTTACAGGAGTTTACAGGTCTTCACGAGTTGCCAAGCTTGACTGAGCACTATCTAATGCCCCCCCCCCCATACTAACACGCCGAATTCACCTTCTTTATAAAGAATCACAGATTAAGCTACTCACAACTAGTTCGAACATTTTAACCACCACATACGCGTTGTTTGATAATACATAGGTTATCCCCCCCTTCTAGTTTACAAAATCACCATAACAATATTTCGCCGCACGATTTCTTTTTTGCCATCTTACGCGAGGCGCCCACACTACCCCTTGGAAACAGTAGACCTCATTTTAAGCCGCGCCCCAGATAACCGCACCCCTTTTTGCCGCGAACATAATTCACACATATGTTACATACATTGCACTATATTATGATATTATTCACCATAATGGAATCTCATGTAAAAAAAGCCCTCCCTCCTTCCCAGCTACATGTGAAGCTGTAAAAAACGTCAAAAAAGCCAGAAAACCTACCGTATATCTCGTTATCCGGGCCATGGTAATACCACCGCACTTCGATTGGCTTCGTCATCATACTAATGAGAAACGTCTCAATACAACGTTTGGCCCTGCGGAAAAAAAATTCCAGCATACAAAAAAATATCAGAAGAGATAGAAATATGAAGGGCAAAGGTATATAAGCGAAGATTCGCCAGTCAGGAAGCTATTATACAGCCATACGAATCCATCTATTTATGTAATCATGACATCGAACGCAAACATAACGCATCAGAAACTAAGGAATGAGACCAATAGCAAGGAATAAGGGTAAAGTTCTCGATTAATCATCATCAGCGTCAAACCACTTTTCTTCCATGTCACGCTCATGTATTTCATCTATCTCATCCAGGGACACATCGTTGTCAACCGTATCGTAGTCGAAAAACCTGCAATCATGCTAAATGCAGTAGTGAAACGGACAAAAACGGAAAAGCTGTTTCTTCAAGGCAGTGGGAGAGGTTGAGCGCGGGAGATTGTTGTCAACGTCATTGGTGGAAGGGCGGAGTGGGTGTGGCCAAACGCACTCCCACAGCCCTTTCCACTAATGACACTGGCAATAACCACCCGCCTCCAGCCACCATGCCCACTGCCTTCAGAGAAAGTACAACAGATACAAGGTTCAGAACAGCTAGTTTTTGAATGGCCTATGTCCTGTAATGACCTGCAAGGGCGAAGTCCGTCATCTTCTACGATGGGTTCAACACTCGAATTGGGTGGAGGTGACTAAAGAATAAACCATAAAAACCGAAACAAATAACCTGGAATCATGTCCCGCCAGGAAACGCTCTTCCATGTATAGCTGAAACTCTCGTCGCAGTATTTCCGGTGAGTCGTCCATACCGTCTTCGAGCATCTCCGCATCCTAGGACAGAATACTTTGCCTTCCTTTAACTAGGCCTTTTGAACATGCCGTAGGTACAAAAAGAACGCATCTTGTTTTTGTGCGCATGAAAACATGAAGCTTAAATCCAAAACCGTTTAGCATAGTGATCATCGACCGGACAAGACAATAAAGAATGTACCCTGAATACCCTATCTAATAGAAAATAGAGCATAATTGCATGTCCCGCTTTTGAAAATGGTGAGTTGTGTGGCTTTAACACTTATGACAGTGGTGGCAATCAACTCAGTAGCGAAGAAAAATGAAAAAAAAACCGTCGGGAATGCCCCATATAGAACCCCATGCTGAATCGCGCTTCTGGGTGCATGCGGCGAACAAAGGACTGGTCATACAACATGTCACTTTTTGGTGTCAGCTCTTTCTTTCTTCTCATCATATCAATCTCACCATTCGAAATGAAGAAAGCTAGTAGCGAAGCAATTGCGACACCGGGATTAGTCAGACGTCCGGCTTCTCGCCGCTCTGCATCCATACTCTTCCATCGCACGCTCTGTGCGAATATAGTGCAGCGCAGAGTATGATCGATATTCTCCCTCTCCCCAGCACATGTCGTTGGGCGACATTTCGCGAGAGTGGGGAGCTAAAGACGCAGACAGGCAGATGCAGAGAGATGACAGGCAACAATAGAGATAACGGCAGAGAGCAGTGGCTTGCTGGGAGATATTTCCCCCTCGAGAGGAAGTATAGCATACGGCCCATATACGGGAAAAAAAGTTGGGCGTGTCAGCGGCTAGTGCGGGGGGCCGGTCTCATGCGTGGCATGCTTTTAGGTCGAGAGAACGTTTTACACCCAAGTGCGGCTTATACTCTCCAAAGCTACAGCGGCGCTTGTGGAAAGAAAACTTAACTGCTTTGAGAAAGCACCCCCGAAAAATTTCGAAAAGTCAGTGAGGAAATTTACGACCTATCGTTGTTATAAGATAAGCCATCAAAACCTGATATAAGATCAATCGAGGCACAGTTCGCTATAGTGGGATGCTCGAGCTAATACAGATAACTCTGGCAAAGAACTTGGCAACACTCGCCGCTAAGTGGCTTTTAAATGGACTCCATCTCCATGGATGCAGAAATGGTGAAATGGTGTCTGCCAGTAATAATTTTCTAGGGGGAGATAAGGATGGACGAACAGCCATAGTTCGTCGTAAAAACGTGTGCTCTAAGGGTAGCTTGTACGCAAATAATACCAAGCTGCTTGCGGCGGGCTACCTGGCGCCCGCGCCAAAATACCCTAAATCACCAAACTAGCTGAAAACTTGCCTCCTGGGGTAGTTCGATGCCGTGAACACGAATTTTACAACCAAAGGGGCAAGTCATGAAAAAAATGGCGAGAAACTTTTGTCAACGTAGCGCCTATTGCGCCCGCCAAGCACTTTTGGGCCAAGAGGATGTAATGTTCCGTCGGAGGTCAAAACTACCTCAGGAGACAAATTTTCACTCAAATTTGCTCCCAGAGAAAAACTTGGTAAAAACTGGACTGAAGACTGGAGCAATAAAAGCTAAATTGTGTCGAAGATCGAAATTCGTATTCTCACCTTCTGCACTTCTTGAAACAATTTAACCGTGACCATTCTCATATTCTCAGAAATACTACGGTTCTATCGAAGAAAAATGTCCGTCCACGGCATTCATGAAAAAAAACGGGCTCGTCGTCATGCTTTTTTAAAGCAATGCGCATTTGCGGGAAGCGCGCATTCTACTTCCATTCAGAATCGTAGTGGCTTATTGAATGCGATGTGGCCTATACAATGACTTGCGGGGGCCAGCCGATGTACAAGTCAGTGTTTTATCCTCCCAGACGAATCTGGTACCAATTTACCGTCCCGGAGGGTAGAAGGCTTGGTTGCCTTGGGCGGGTGTCGACCCGGGATTCGAAGCCGGCGCCGCGCGAGTGGTAAGCGCTCACTTGTCACTACACCACCTCCGCCTCGAAGTAAGGCAATATCTGATAATTCAAACTTGTCGCACTTCTTGACTCATCCGATTAAGTTCTTCTCGCATTTGCCACTCGACAATCATTCTCCAAGCCTTCTTCTTCGAGCTCGTCTTCTTGAGAAGACAGCATGTTGCTAACGTGTGCCTCCATTCTCGACAAATGTTCTGCCCTTTGCGATTCCTGGAAAAAAAGCGATTTCTATGGAATCCCACCAATGATGGTTCAACGATCAATGAGGCGGTTAGAGAATATCAACTGGTGCTATTTCATTAAAGATTAATGACCCAATTTCTTCTACTTTACACAGCGATCCAGAGAACAGAATAACGTGAGACTCACACCAATATCTCTGTGCCACTCAGTGTGGTGTTCGTTACGTCGTTGTGCGATTTCCCTAGAAGACTCGAATTGGCACAGCATGTCAGCCCAACCGCCTTCTGCACATTCTTCTCGTGAAACGGAAGGACGGAGATTTATCTGATCTGAACAAAAATGGAATTGTCGCCAAAGCGAACACAGTTGTGAAAAATCGTGATTGCTACGTCTTAAGACAAGAAAACGTTTGATGAGACTCGAAAATTACCGAAGAGAACCATGAACTCAACGCTCTTGTAACTTTCGCATAACCTATGAGCCTAGGCAAGAAATGATGACATGGGACCTACTCATTTCAGTGAACCTTAACAAAAAGGCGTCCAGCTAGTTATACAAAAATCCTGAGATGACGAACATATTTATATATATCAAATAATGATATAAATCATTCTACAGGTAATAGGAGGGCCGGCTCTTCCCAGTCTTCCTAAGCTTCCAAGTACTAAAAAGCAACTTCTTAGAACTTGGAATCTCAGGAAGACTGGGAAGAGCTGGGCTACATTCAAAAGTTGGCTCTGAACTATTCCTACCCCAAAAACTCAAAAAATTTTTCGCTGAAACTTCATCCATAGATGTTATTCGATGTCCTGGTCACGAATATGACATTGATTTCTGGCGCTGGCGCCATTTGGCGCCAAACAGAAGCCAACTCGGCATTTACATTTAACATTTATTTTTGACGCTGGCGCCATGCGGCGCCACACCTTTCCTTCATTAAGCCGATAAAAGCTTGTGTATTAGGGTTGTTTGATGCATCGTGGGTATGGCATTTATTCCTCCATACCAGCGCCACTTACAGTTCTGCTGAGGGTGAGCGTGGGAAAAGGAGTGATTCCACTTCAGACGCAGGCTTCGTTCCTAGAAAGGAGCAGAATGCCATATGTGTCCGCCCCGCTAGCGTCGGGGCGCCAATAATAATGTATATATTGCAAAAAACAGGATGTAAATATTCCGTACAATATAATACCTATGATAAGTTTTCATCGATTTCGGTGCCCCATGGGATTTTGGCGCCGGCGCTTGTGGCGCAAGCGCCGGGCGGTCCTGGCCCAAGCGGATGTGATATTCGTGTTCAGAAAGTCGAAGGCCCCCTACGAGCAAATTTTCAGCCGAATCTGCCCTTGCAGAAAAACGTCGGTATAAAACCGGCCTGATTTCAGCAGACTGGGGTAGGAAAAGTTCAATAAAGCCAAAAAGTTTTCTTTTTAGAAATTAGCGACCGCCGTACAGATCAGCAGTCACACTTGGTCCATATGCAAAGAGGTTGCACAACCAACGTGAACACTAATCTAATGTGGTGGTTGGTGGGCCCAACCCTCCCGCCTTGAAGGCAGTCCGCCCAAAAAAATTGTAATATGGCAACCCTCCAGGATTGAGGCAGAATAAGCTGTACACGGAAGTAAGTGGACGGTCAGACAAACAACATACAAACACACACATACACAACTTGCAAGCGTGACTTGATACCAGTGGGCGTGGCCACAGGGGCAAGGCTTCGAAATGGACCGGTGTTTCCCAAATTTGTGCCGCAATAGATATTAGACGGGAGCACCGTTTACAAGGTAAACGTTCCTATTGTCTTCAAGGTGTGCTTAATGTTGATTTCATGATCATACGTAAGACCTGATAACCACTTTTTCGCCTCTGCCTAATGTATACCTTTGCAAAAAGCATAAATTCCAATCTAAGTTAATTCTTCCTCTCGGAACTTCTTAGTTCAAGCAGTAGAAACACACAGCTGTTTAATAAGAAGGAAATTATCGTCTCCAAGCTCAGGAAGAAGCGCTGAAGCCTAATTATA